AAAAAAAAATTAATAGGATAATTGCAGTTTCCGGAGACTTACTTCAAGCCAAATGTAGCTAAAGTAAGTCTCCGAGAACTTCAAAAATAATACTTTAATAGCAGCGGAAGTTCATGTAAGAAAAAATTGATTAATTGAAATAATAAACATAATGTAAAAATTGACCTCAATATGTAAATTTCTGAAAGTTGCGGCGTTAAGGGTGTTGTAGAGAGTGCCACTTTCGACATCGTCCTTGTTACTTTTCATTAGAGAATCGTGACTTTAGGGAATACGTCAGTAATCACTGCTTTTCTGTCTCCTTTCCAAATTGTTATATTCAAAAAATAAACCAGAAAACTTAACAATCCTGAAAAAACAATCCCATTTTGAAAGCAGAGCTCTTAATTGAGAAACTCGTTATAAAAGCATTAAAGGGACCATATTTTGTCAAAAGAAAGGACTTATATCCGTCTTTTTGCCCAACAAGGTTTTACCTAATGCAAAAAAAAAAAAGAAAAAAAAAGGGAAAAAAATATTGCACCAAATACAAAGCAACTTAAATAGAGCAACAGGTTTGTACATTAAGTCGTCTTCTCAGTCATTCCTACTGGTATGAAAAATCTGCTTTGTGAACCCTCAGCTACAGTCACTGTTTCTGAAAGTGAACGGTACTGTTCCAGAGGGGAAACGATGGGCACTCAGATAGATAGCAAAACGGTAAACATGTCCTTTAGAGGTTTAGCAGTGAGAACTATGAGCACATATGACTGCAGTGAGGGAAAATACTTTTCTTAGAGGAGAATTGAAAAAATGAATGGGGATTTTGCAAAAGAAAAAAAGGAGGTTTTTGCAAGTGGTTCAGCCTATTTTCTGCGATGCCTGGTAATTGAGGTTATCTATTATCATATTTTTATTATGCTTGGTCGCTGTTCGAACAAAGTAACAAGAACGTTGACAGTTGCTACCTGAAGCCTTAATGTTTTCTGATGTGCAGATGTTTTACACTGGGGACTTATTTTACGCTTTATGAAAAGTTGAAAATAGATATGACAGTGAAATGTTTTTCTGGTCACTAAGACAGTAAATTTTTTAACCTTTGAAACCTTTTCTGATTTTGCGCTTGGAATTTTTTACAAACAATTCTTAACTTGTCATTTCGGTAGCAATCACTCACGTGAAGAAATTTTTTTTTTCTTTCGTTTAAAACGAGTTAAAATAAGCTTTACTTCTGCCTATTTTATGATTTGGTTATAGTAGCCACTGTTCTAAATTTTAATTGAAAACCTGGGAGAAGTATCAATGAATACAGATATACGTTTTATAAGAAAGTAACACAAATCAAATTTAACTTT